ACACACACACGCACGCATACACGGCTCTGAACCCCTGCACCCACCGCTGCAACCCGACAAAGGGAGGACCTGGCAAAGGTCTGCCTGAAGCTCTCAGCCGACAGCCCCGCGACGCAGGCAAAGACGGCGTCGGCCCGACCCGCCCCTGCCCAGCCAGCCGCCACGGAGGGCGGCAGCAGCGGCGGCAGCGGCGGCGGCTCCGTGGCGGACGCGCTGCTGACTGCGCAGCTGCGGGTGATGACCCAAAAGGCGGCGGGGTTTGAGCGGCAGATGAGGCAGGCTCAATCAGAAGCTGAGAGGCTCAAGGAGCAGGTGCGTGTGCGGGGGCCGGCGGCCCAGGGCGCGGGCCGCCGCCTGGTCGGCCGACTAGAGGGGGGCGTGCCCCCTTAGGCATGCGGCTTCAGGGTGCTGGATGTGTCCAGATGCAATCTGCACCCCCACAATATGCCGCAACACCGTCATTGCAACGCGCGCCTGCCCGCAGATGCATGTGCCCGCGCGCGTGCACACACGCACACACACACACATTTATACACACACACACACACACACGCACGCGCGTACACACACACACATCTCCCCCTAGCTGGCCACCCTTGAATTTGAAAAGACCGAGTTGGGGCAGCAGGACGAGTTTGAGCGCGAGGCACGGCTCTTTGCGGAGGACCAGCTGAGGGCGGCGCAGCGCGAGGCGTCCGGGCTCAGGCAGCAGGTGGGGTCCGTTCGAGCACCTACACACGCCCTGAGCCGCGCGCGCCGTCGGTGCTGCTCGCGCGAGCATGCGCTGGGCGGGGCCGCTGCATGCTTATGGACACGAGCGAGCTGCCACCCCTCATTGCTGCTCTGCTGTTCTCCGTAGAGCGTCACTTGCACGCCACGATGTTATGATGATGTTGTGCTAAGCCCCAAACCCATCTACACGGCGCACTGTCACGAACGACGCCGCCACTGTTTAGGTGGCCGCGCACCAGGAGATGCTGGCCGAGGCGCGGTGCGAGCTGCAGCTGCTGCAGGAGCGACAGAAGGACGCGGAGCAGGGCTGGGCGCAGGAGAGGGAGGAGCTGCGGGCCAGGGCGGTGCAGGTGAGGGGGCCGCGCTCGCTTGGCCAGGGGCCCTGGGGACGCGTGCTCGCACCCTGCCAGGCTGGCGGACCGGCGCTGCAGCGCTGCCATAAGATGAGATTCCCCCAACAGCATGTTGCCCCTCGCATCTCATGTTTCCTGCTAAGAGCTCTTACAGCACGCCCTCCGCAGCATCCACTCAGCCGCGAGCTCTCCTCGCACCCCTTTCTGGCCACCCTGCTTCTTCCCCGGCCATGCCTCCAACCCGCCCGCCCCTCGCCGCCCTCCCTCGGCGGCGTCGCGTCTGTGGTGCGCTCCCGCAGGCTGCGTCCGAGCGGGACTCCGCCCTGGACAGGCTGGACTTCCAGGATGTGCGGCTGACGGCGCTGGGGGGCGCCAACAGCGAGCTGCAGGCCGCGCTCGCAGCGGAGCAGGCGCGCGTGGAGGAGGGAGCACTGCGGCTGGCCGCCAAGGAGCAGGTGGGAGGGTAGGCGCGCGTCGCGCGCACACGTGTGCGTGCGTGTGTGCGCGTGCGCGCACGCATGTGCATGTGTGCGCATGCGTCTTTGCCCATGTGTGCACGCACATGCACGAGAAGGCGCGCATGGGTGTGATCGTCAGGGGGGAGGCAACGCGCTTGACACCAGCCGGTGAGGGCGGAAGACGGCAGGGGAACAACGTGAGAGGATTTGCAACAGGCAGGTAAGTAACAGACCTGCGGCTCCAACCAGCGAGCGCACAGCCTGGTTGTGACACCCCTGCGTGGTGCGCGCCGCCCGATCCTATCCCCGCAGGAGCTGGCGTGCGCGGCCTCGCAGCTGGAGGAGTCACGAGCGCAGACAGAGAAGGCCGTGGAGCAGGTGGGTGCGGCTGCCCCGGGGATAACCCGCACTGCGCCGACATCACAGTAGCTGGGACGATCGCAAGGGGCGAGCAGGGAGCACCTCCGTACCCCTCAAGGGTTTCCGGCGCACATACACAAACCACAGGCCTGCAGCCACGCCTTCAAGACACAGCCTCCCCTCTTGTTGCTGCTCACCCGCCCTGTCCGGCCAATTCTCTTCAACCCGCCGCCGCCCGGCGCCCCGCAGGTGTGCAGCGCCAACATGGCGGCCGAGCAGTCCGCGGAGGCCGCCCAGGCCGACCGCGCGCGCCTTGACGGCCTGCTCGCGCAGCTGGCCGCGTCCGCGGAGGCCCAGGCTGCACTGGAGGGCGAGCGCGACAAGCTGGCGGCGCAGGCGCAGCACTATGGCCTGCTCAAGCAGAAGTATGCCCAGAAGAGCGCCGCGCTCAAGGAGGTGCGCGCGCGCACGCGTAAGGCAGGGGGGCCTGACCGGGACGATGTTGTCACGGGCGCTGAGCCGTTGGGATCGGCCTGCTTTTCGAGGGCGCGGTTTGGGGGTTGGTTTGTCGCGTCGAACATCACTTTGCGGGCGACGGCCACGACTGCAGCCGCCACACGCGCAGCCGCTGCCAGGCCGCCGCACGTCAGTCTTTGCACCGCCCTACCCACCAGTGTCACTGGACAGTTCGCCCTGCGTAATGCGCACGTGCACATGCACACGCGTGCACACACACACACACACACACACACACACACACACACACACGCACGCGCACACACACACACACGCTCACACATCCACATGCACAAACCACCCCAGGCCACGGCCAAGGTGGCGGCCAAGGAGGCGGAGAACGGTGAGCTGATGGCGATGTGCGACATGCTGCTGCAGCAGCAGGAGGCGGCGCGCTGCAGGGACACGGCTGAGGCGCCAGACCAGCGGTAGCTGCCAGGACGCCTGGTAGGCACGCGCAGGTGCCTGGCAGAGAGCCCTGGTCAGCGCTTGGACTAAATGCGCACAGCAGAGTAAGTGTTTGGGGCAACTGGCACGTTAGAAAGTGTTGAACCTCCCTGTAGATGCCTCCATAGTGTCCTGTGTCAGGCTGAGGTGCTGGGTATAATGAGGTAGGGCTTACTTATGCTGACTGTGTGATTTGAATCTGGCTTGTTTTGGTTTCTGGGGCGGTTGGCAACAGAAGAGGCAAGCGAGCGTCTCGCCCTGCAACGCTGCGCTGCGCTGTCCTGTCCTGCGAACGTTGAGACTGGTGGTATTGCATCACACTGGGTTGTTTCAGACAAGGGCTGGTTGAGGCACACAGCATTAGTGTAAACCTGCATAGACTGCTACGCCTGATCTCCCAGTGCGACTGCGGACCCCAGTCTGATGTGGACCAGTTGCTGCATTACGCATTGTGTGTGTTGCGCTATGTGGTGAAAAGTACTACATGTGAGACACGAAGGGTGATCCAGTAAAATCGATGCAATCCCGTCTGTCAGGCGGCGTTGTAGAGAGCTGCAGCGCTGCATGAGCAGGGCAGCTGCGGCCGCACACATCCGCAGCATTCACCCGCGCAGGAGGCCCCCAGATGCGCCTCAAAAAGGTCCTGTTGATACGTGGTGCCCACTGGGGCACAGTTTGATTGGCGTCACACGCCACAAGGCCCGCTAACCAATGCCAGCTGCACGCCTCAGCAGTCCGTACGACACGTCACCGCCGCCACTGCTGCAGCCAGAGCCAAGGAAAGGGTCGCGGTTTCGCCCAAACAGCTGCTCGAGCACGCACTGAGCAGACGCGCCACAACCCGCCGTACCGTTTATCATGCAACACCGGGCGCCGCCGCCGCCGCCGTAGCGGCGGCCACGACAGCCATAGCCGCGGCGGCCTTGGCGGCGGCCTTGCCGCCAGCCGCCTTGGAGGAGCGCCGCTCGGCCGGCATGTGGAAGACGTCATAGTGGTGGTTGAGGCTGCGGTTGGCCTGCAGCCGGAACGCGCCGCCCAGCGCGCCGTGCCGCCCGTCCGCCTCGCAGTACACGACGCGCGCGAGCCGCGAGTGCACGAGCGCCATGCCGCACATGGCGCAGGGCTCGCGCAGCAGGAAGGCGTCATACGTGTTGCACAGGTACGGCTTGTTGGCCCAGCTGGTGATCGGCACCGGCGTCGGCAGGCGGCTCAGCCCGCTCGCGCCGCCGCTCGCGCTGTTGCCGCTGCTGCCGACTTCGGCGCCGGCGCCGCCGTCGGCTGACGGCGACGCAGACGCCGGCCGCTTGGGCTGCTCCTGCGGCACACTGACTGGGTTGTTGGCGGGCGCAGGCCCATCAGACTGCTGCTGCCGCTCCTGCCGGCCCTCTTGCGGCTGCTGCTGCTGTGGCGGCAGCGGCGGCAACGGCTGCCGCTCCTCCTCCTGCTGCTGAGTCTCCTGCTGCTGCTCCCCCTGCTGCTGCTGAACCTCATCCGCCACCGCTGCTCCCACCGGCTGCTCCTCACCACCCCCCGCCTTGCTGGTGCTGCTGCAGGGCTTGGAGTGGCTTGCGAAGCCGTTTGTGACACGCTGCCGCTTGGCAGGGCTGTCAACGCCCAGGCCGTCCTCTTGGCTGTGGCAGTGCTTCAGCCCGCTCAGCAGGTGGTCTTCATGCTGCTGCTGCTGCGCCTGCTGCTGCTGCTGCTGCTGCTGCGGCGGCGGCGGCGGCGGCGAGTGCTGTTGCTCCGGCCGCTCCGCAGCCTGCTCTTGCGGCTGCTCCTGCGCTGCCGGACGGCCCGTGCCCTCGTCGTCTCCGCTCGCGCTGCCGCTGGCTGCGCCGTTGCTGACCACCAGCTCGCCGTTGGCGCCGCCGCCGCCGCCGCCGCCGTTGGCGCCGTCCACTATGGTGTTGACGCCGTGCACGCTCGTGTCCTCTTGGCGTCCCAGGTGCACAAACCCGTTGACCGGCCACAGCCGCAGGTCGCGCTCCGCCGCCGCCGCAACGGCCTCCATGACCGCGTGCCGCAGCGGGTGCAACGCGGTGCAGTCCGAGGCCTCGGCGATCACCTCGCCGTTTGAGGGGTCGATGATCAGGCACACGTTGGCGCCTGCGGCGGCGCGGCTGGACGCGACGACGCGCGCCATGTGGCGCTCGAAGTACAGCTGGTCGGCGTCGCCGGCAGTCTGCCCGTCCTGGTGCGGCTGCCCGCTCGGCAGCTTCCAGGGCATCGGCCAGATCTTGTTCCACTCTGACCACTGGTCCCGATTGTCGGGCGCGACGGCCGGGACGCGCGCGACGTCGAGCGACGCGGCGGCGGCGGCGAGCGCGGCGGCGACGCGGGGCGGGAGCAGCGGCGCG